CCGAAGAGTCTCTTGGAAAAACACTTTAGAAGATTGACGAATGTTACTCAACCACAACAAAAGGAATGGTTTTACGTAAAAGCAACCTTAAAGCCTTACTGCTGGAACTTAATAAATAACATTCTACTTATTGGGTTAGTTAAAGCCATTCTTGCAATGATTCTTAACATTATCGTCATTACAACGACTTCAAGAAGCAGAGTTCTAAGACAGTCTGTTGCACATGTTCTTGTGGCTAATATTAGTGTAGGAGACCTGTTAGTTTCATTCTACATGATTATCATTATATCAACAAGACAAAGCATGACTGCTGAGAACTATTTCAGTATGTACCTACCGTACTACTGCAGGATTGTTGGTCTCTTTTTCTTAATTGGTCAGTTTTCAAGTCCAGGCATGTCGTTTATAATGACAATAGAAAGGTATTTAGCTGTCGTATACTGCATGAGACCTCACATCAGAATCACCAGGAGAATGTCGTACGTCGCCATAGTCATAATTTGGAGCTTTTCAGTTTCAATGGCTGTTAGTTTCATGACTTCACCACAGTTTTCAACACAAACAGACATCATGTGTGTTCCTAGTAGTAATATGCGCGGTCAACAAGTGCTCTATTACATAGGAGGTATTGGAGTCCTATTATACGTCATCTCAATTGCCTTATATGGCCACATGTATGTGGATTTCCAAAAGACTAACCAGAAGACCGTACAGTTACAAAGGGAAAACCGTTTAGCTCGCAGGATTGCACTCATCATGTTCACCAATGTTCTCTTCTTTATCCTTCCATTAGCCGTGATTGCAGCTGTTAACGGTTTCCAGGACCACATATCCAATGTAACTCTTTACATATTTTGGAAAACCTTTGGTATAACGTTTTTGGGTATCAATCCTTGCATCAATCCTATTTTATTTTCGTTTAGGAATGAGCAATTTCGAAGTGAGTTTTGGAAACTGCATCGACTTCGTCGTGGAACTGTTGATCTTCAGCCTTGATAATAGTTATTGCTTGTTTGCGGTTCTTAGATACAGTTTGTGTTTGGATATATTTTATATGCACTCCATTGCAAAATCATTGCAAAGTCGGATTCAAAAACATAGAACATAGAAGCTGAGGCCAAAATGGTACATGGAAAGTACGTTGATTAGATGTATCTAGTGATATAACTCGAATGATGTTCATAAATAGACCTCTTTAGCATCGTTGTTTGTTGTGCACATTTCAGACCATGTAAATATTTTGACGTGCATTTGTCATAAAAGAACAATTCTCAAGGGAATGTAATGTGATCTGAAATGGGCAATTTGTATTCAAAACTAGAGAGGTCTATTGAATTACATTGACAGAAAGCAGGGAGTCTTTTATTTTGTTAAAACACAGGTTTCATATATTGATTGTCTATCCTAAATAAATACATCAGAGGATACTTAAGTACTTATTTCATTTCAATACCTCTCAGTCTCGTCTTTTACATGTTTTGTCATTCTGAACCAGCTAATGATTTTGCAATTTAGTTTGTTTGAAAGTGTTTGATATAATTTTGAGGCTTATTGAGTTTCAAATCCAGCTGCCTTTATCAATACGAAATTTAGATGGCACATGAAGAAATCCTGGCAGTTTCTTCGCGATAAAGGTACGACCAAATAATTTTTATCGCTCTTTTGCGTTTCTGAAATTCACAATATTTTTTGCGTTTCTGAAATTCAGCTAAAAATCTTCACTTTTCTTTACTTATTTTTTTTCTTTTCCAACGTGCTTTTCATCAAGCTATAATTGAACTCGGTAAAGAAGATTCGACAGCCGACAAATACGGATTATCCAGTATGACATGGACAAGGTATTTAGAGAATATCACATGTAAAAGAGCTTGATAACGTTTTTATTCACGAGTTTCCATATCTTATCACGAACAAGTTAGTCTGAGAATAAAAACAAATCAATAAAAAATATATCAGTCTCTTAACATGTAGTAATTTGTTTATTGCACATTTATGGACAATACAATGCGGATAAATATTCAAACTCGCAGTTTTCAGTTTACCGTGAAGTGATATCGTAACACTTCACAAATATGGTATTTTTTTGCAGCCTTATCACATTGATATAAAATCTGCATATGTTATCAAATATTGCTTTTCTTTTATAAAGTAGTGTGTCTTACGGACTTTCTCATCAGAACACTTAAATCACATGGTTCCAACTATGTATGACTTAACGCTGAAATCTAAATCTTTATCAATTTCAATTTATTCAGTACTGATTTTTTTTTTTTTTTTTTTACTTTTCCATTATGAAATAATTTCGATTATTCAAATGTCATTGTCATGGTATTTAGCTATTGCAAAAACAATAAATGTCTGAAAGAATTTTTTAAAAACACCTTTTTTTAAATTTACTTTTCTTTTCAGAGTTTCCATGCGATGGCAGTTGTGCTGATTCTCTCATTGGTCGAAGCAAATCCAATCAGCAATTACAATTGGACAAGATGTCACGAAGCAAACAAATACTTGGTCTGTATATGCTCAAGTGATCTCTTTATTAACGCCATTATCAGCTGCCACTTCAAAGACATCATCGCTGATCTTAAGAAGATTATTAATGTTCCTCAAGAATTGGCGCGACTGTAAGAATCGATATTGATGTTTCTAAAATATTGTGTCTATCTAGTTAAGAGTGCTTGGCCAAGTGAGTTTAGTGCCTCAAAACTTCAAGGTTGTAAAAGGAAGATCCCAATCGATATTCGGTTATAAATTGCATAGCGTTGTATAACCAAGAGTGCCTCTTGTCTCGTATGTGACAATGGAAACACCTTATGCTATTTTGATTTGCAATAATTTTCAGGAATTTAACCTGAAACAGTATCCAAGTACTTCCTCGCAATTCATTCTCAAACTACACCCAATTGATCTATCTGTAAGTACGACATATTCTTCAGTGACAATTCAAAAACTGTTGTGAAGATTGGCTTACATCTCAAATAAGTAAATCATCTTTTTATTTTTGATCTTTGTCCTTCAATAACATACACATCATAGCTGAAGGAGTGCTCAGTGGGCTAACGAGACTACGGGAATTGTAGGAGAATAACATAAATTGGTTTATTGTTAAATTCATTTTCAAAACTACGCGACCTAGACGGCTTTAAACATCTTGAGTTTTGGCTTCCTTCAATCAAACTTTGTTAAAGAAATTTCTGCTCGACCAATCAAAAACAACCATTCCCAAGCTTGAAACAGACAAAGTATTTTGATTTCAATCTTAAAGGGGCACTTGAATGAAAACGTCCCAGTTTTTCAAAGTCCGAATAATTGAAGTATATGTGGATAAGTTTAAAGTCATTTCCAATTTTTATCCATTTTCATCCAATTGCCCCTTTAAATGTGCACGCTAATCGAAGTTTTAAAAAGTCCAAGAAAATGCAATTGAATAAAATGTTTGAGTTTGTTTTCTAACCTGATCTTTAAGGTTATGGATTTGCCCTTAAGTTTATCCCTAATCAGGGATAACTATTGACAGATACTTCTTCTAGATTATCAGTATTCGAGCGTAGCCATGAATATATAGCAACCCAAAATGACTGTCCAGTTGAGTGGAACAAGGGAATTTCTTTGACTTCGGCCCTTCCAGTTACTTTGATTGACGGAAGCCAAAACTCCGGATCCAGACGAATATGGAGCCGTCTAGATCTCTCCCGCGGATTACCTCCTTGTCGTGGTTGGAGAGCTTGCGTGCCTCTTGACCCCTTGAACTTATGCTAGCGGGAGCTTTGATTCCTAGTAGGGTCACCCAAGCCAAAAAGGTCAATGAGTAGACTCCGGACGAAGCGCGATCCACGGGTCCTCCAGATATGGGCACAGGGCTAACAATATCTCGTAAAATAATTTCTGGTAAGAAACAGCAACAAAGGAAAACACTACGACTGGCATCCTTTGTTGCTGCCCTACATGCCAGCATGCATAATGGCAGTACGTAAGTAAATATGGAAACAGTGAAAATAGAGGACGATTTTACAAAGTACAATTGCATTTAAGATGTTTGATTTTGTCTATATGGGTGGGTGCAAAAATTCTTCTTTTTCGTTTTTTTTCTTCTGTGTAAACACAGGATCTTTTCGGATAATAGTTGTAGAGCCAACAAATACATCAAATTCAATCACCTGAACTTGTAATGGCAAATACGCGCGTTCGCAAAAAAAATGATTAGGTATCTTGTAGGTATGGAATTGTATCACTAAGATACATAAACTGCTTTTCCGAAAATGACGCAAATTTTACACAAACTTAAAATATGATTCTCAAATACATTGCTTAGTACACTGAACCGAGGGATGCCTTGGCTATCATTTTATGTCAGAAGAGGACATGATGAAGCTGATAGCTTTCTATACTGCTTTACGGATTAGGTAGTGAACAAAAAAATTAAGCCTAGATGGATTAGGTCCATTTATTAATATTTTAAGGAACTTTGGTTGACAAAACCAATTTTCTTTTAAAACTCAGGAACCTCCAAGACAACATGATCAAACAGTGGGACACAACGTTCATTGAACAAGATCTACCAAATCTCATCTTGTTGAACATTGCACACAATATTCATTGGAAACCAGACCAACAAATCCTGTCACTACCAAAACTCAAGATTATATATTTATTGTCAGACGACGTTCCAAAACATTTATCTTGTCCTGTCCGATGTCATCTTGTAAAAGGCAACGCGAAACTGCACATTATCAACAACGCATTGATGGAAAATATTCCCAGAAGTATTTATGGAAAGGTGGGTTCTGACTTAGTGTCATGTACGTAGCATGAACTAATTATAATAGATCCCAGCTATTCGGGTATTATACATGACAAGAGTTTTTATTTCGATTGTGAAATCGTAAAGCAAATATGCTTGGCGAAAACCGACTTGGAAAGACAAAAAAAATAGCATTGAATGGCAGCAACGAAATAAATGGTTTTACATTAAATTGAAAGTTAGAATCTACTGCTGGAAGATGATGAATATGATTTTCATTATTGCGTTGGTGGAAGGAATCTGTGCACTTCCTTTCAACCTGATCGTTCTTATTACAACTTTAAAAAGCAGAGTCCTAAGACAGCCTGTTGCACATATTCTTGTCGCTAATATTAGTGTAGGAGGCCTGTTGATCTCATTCTACATGATCATCATTACATCAACGAGACAAAGCATGTCGGCTGAAAACTATTACAGCATGTACCTACCTTACTACTGCAGGATCGTTGGTGTTCTTTTCCTAATTGGACAGGTGACAAGCCCTTTGATGTCGTTTGTAATGACATTAGAAAGACATTTAGCTGTTGTATACTGCATGAGACCACATATCAGGATCACCAGAAGAATGTCCTACGTTGCCATGGTTATAGTCTGGAGTTTATCTTTGTCTCTGGCAGTAAGTTTCATGACGTCACCACAATTCTCTGTAGAAACAGACACGATGTGTCTCCCGTATATTAACATTGACAATCAAGAAGTTCTGACTTACGTAGGATGTGGTGGAGTCGTGTTATACGTCATCTCCATGGCCTTATATGGTCACATGTATTTGGATTTCCAAAAGACCAACCAGAAGACCGTACAGTTACAAAGAGAAAATAGTTTGGCTCGCAGGATTGCACTTATCATGTTCACCAATGTTCTTTTCTTTATCCTTCCATTAGCCGTGATCGCAGCCGTTAACATATTCCAGGAACACATATCCAATGAAACTCTTCACATATTTTGGAAAACTTTCGGCTTGAGTTTTTTGGGTATCAATCCTTGCATCAATCCTGTTTTATTCTCGTTTAGGAATGAGAAACTTCGCAATGAGTTTTGGAAATTCTGTAGACTTCTTCGTGGGTCTGTTGCTCATCAGCCTTGATCCTAGCAATTGGTTATTCGTGTTCCATAAATTTGGTCTGTTCGTCTCTTTGAATCTTTCTTCTTTTGTTTTGAGTCGTAAAAAATCGTCTCGTTGAAAGTTTCTTCTTTTGTTTTGAATTGTAACAAGCCTATATCGCTTCGAAAGCGATGATGTTTCGGCCCGTTGTCTATTTATTGTGTGGCATTGCTGAATAAAGAATTTTGGTCTTGCTGTGGTAATGATTGGGTCTCCTGTATTTTGAAAATGGCAGACAAGAGCGATCTCGCGGTACACTTTCACGTTACAAAGTCTTACGCAAATTTTGAAGGAAACATTTGTTATAAAATTCTCTTGGACGAAACACATCGTAATTAAGCTTTTTTGATATTTTAGTGGTTCTTGCTTTGAAACATCGTAATGTTTGGGGAAAACAGGGCAACGTACATACATATAACGTCTCGCCGAACTAATGAGAGATCCGACAATAGATATAAACAATGATTGAGTATCGCAGAGAGCAGAGTACTTGGTGCAAAATATTTTGGCACATGAGCATTACTGTACGCGCTTTGTTGAATGTAGGATACTTTTTAAACCTTCATTCTGCTCTTTGACATTTATGGTAAATGTATTTAGCATTTATATCATAGCTTGAAGAAAATGCGAAAGTCTCAATTCGAACGAAAAGATACAAGGCTTGTCTTTGACCAGTGCGCCGTGACCAATCTACTCAAAATTTACATCATTTGTAGCTTCAAAAATATTACCGAATCCAAGAAATTATACTTTAAATCAGAGTATTAATGAATGAAAACTGATGCTTTCAGACTTCTATCTTTAAAGCTTTAAAGTACGCACTGTTTGTTTATAGGATCTAGTTTAAATAATAGCTGATACCAAAAACATTTCCTCAGATGTGCATGAAGCTACAACATATCGGAAGCTTGCTTCACAAAATATATATGCATCAACTGTTAGTTACACAGATAAACTCACCAGTTTCTTCAACTTATGCTCACAGGCAGCTGAGACTGGCAAATTGCCCTAATTTGCCGCACATCACAAAAGCTTTTGGATAACTTTTCAATA